CCATTCCATGTACATTGTTTGTTGTGTGGGACTGACCACCACCCTTCCATGTTAGCAGACATGAATCATTTCTGCTGACAGAAGACAAACTACCTGGTGACCAGGTCAGTCCTAGTTCCCAGGCTTATGAATTCCCAGGTAAGCCATAACTCTTCTGAGAATCCTGAAGTGTGCATCTGTTTTTCAGAGTGTATTTAAACACCATTAAAGCGAATGGAACTAAGCATGTGAATGTCATTAATCTCGCGGCTCAGTGCTTCACTGATGGATTTAAATAGGCGTGTAAGTATCTTATTGAACACCAGCCTGGCAGGATGCTTTTATTTTTTGTTCAAATACTGAGAGTTGATCTTGGTCATACAGAACTGTACTTGTCTGCAGAAACAGACAAGTTTGGAGAGAGAGAAGAATACAGAAAGAGTATTTCCTAGTTTTTATTTGATCAATGACCAAGCAAATGACCAAACTCATGTAGATGCCTTGGGGAGGAATCCTAAAAGTGCAGGCAATGCTGAGCAAAATAGAAATGTACTTTTGCATTTAAGTGCAGCAGTATCACCTCAGTGTTAGCAGCAGCAAAGTTTTCCACTCCCCATCTGCTAGCATTCATTTTGATTCCTGTATTGGCGCACCATGGAAAATTTAGGGTCAAGGAGTCTTTGGTTTTTTCTCATTTGTTTCTTTTTTCACTCATAGAGGAAATGTTTCTGTTTCTATAGAATGTTCGTTTTCAGTGGTTTGTTTTTAAGCACCAAAGGAAAAAAAAAAGTATATTTTTTCCTAAAGACCTAATGTCTGAGTCACAGTAAAGAAGAGTGTAATGCACCTTGTTCCAAATAGCATTAGTGTTGCATCTTTCCAGACAGTATTTTTCACTTGGCCAGTTGTAGGAAAAGTGGAATGTCAGTTAAAAAAAACAACAGCTTTCATGTTTTCCATACATAATTTTACTTCAAGAGACAGACAAATGTCCTACAAAGCTGACTCTCTCTGAAGCAGCTATAATATATCAAGGTAATTAATGGCAACTGAGCCATTTCTTGCAAATAACCTTTGTCATTTCAAGCTTTGATTTGAGAAATATGGTCAATCAGGTCTGCAAAAGCATTTACATTAAGCACATGTTCAAGTGTGAAAGGAGTGTTCAGGAGTGAAACCTAAGTTTATTTATAGTCAGAAAATATTAATGAACAGAAACTGATTTGGGGGAATCTTTCTCAAATGCTGGCTTCTTAAGGAGACTCCCTTTTTAGTATTTCTGCAGGCAGAAGATCCTCAATTACCGAACACGTCTCAGGGGCTGGATGCTGGAACAAACGTATGCCAGAGCAAAAGCCTACCTCAGAAGGATGAAAGAGTACAGTGGCTGTTCAGTATCTGCTGAACAAATGAAAAGACCATGAGATCATGAAGACCAAAGAGATCATGAATTAGAAAACACCACTTTCTTCCCTGTATTACTTTGCCTTCAGCGCTATTATTCTCTCCACCAGGTGTGACATGAGCTGATCACCTAATCTGTTGCACAGGTTTGCTGTCTGAGTGTCAGACCCTTTGCAGCTCCTTTGGAAGGTGATACAAAGAAATGAGAAGGAAAAAAAAAACAAACAACTGTGCATAGAGATTTGAGTGGTTAATTTTAGGAAACTGTTGGTATCAGCAAATTAAACAAACACATGGACCATGTGGTCTAAAGGGGCTGGTTTGACTACATAGTGCACTGTTGTAAAGAATTAGCAGCAGAAAATAGTGCAGCAGACTTGAAATCTCTGGAGATTTCCTCTGGGCATGTGCCCCTGAGAGGGACATCAGACCCATTCTCACCAGGGAGAGCAGGTAGCAGATCCCACAGAAAGAATTTCCTTTTGTTTAAAAAAAATTGTTCTCTCTTGAATAAGGGCATAGAAGCAGATTAACAACTACTTAAGGAGTCAGTTTTTAAAACCTCCATTACCTCCGCCTATATCAGAGGAAAGAGCCTTTTAACTGGCTTTATATTGTCTGCCCCTTGTCTCCACGGCCAAAGCACAGCCCCAGGCACTGGCATGAGAAATGGCCAGGCCTGGACCTGGAAACCGGAGATGTGGCCAGGCCTGGATGGAGAAATGTGAGATGTGTCCAGCCTAGACCTCAGAGCCTGGGCACAGCCAGCAGCCGCACCCGTGGCTGGGTGCCACCTGTGGGGAGGCTTTGGGCTCTTCTCCCATGCATGTGGTGTCCGCTGGCAGCCCCAGCAAGCCCAGAGTGGATGTAAGCACCACTTACATCTCAGCTGAGGCTCAGGCTGAGGGCTTTTCTGGTTAGGAGTAACAGATAAGAGTAATAGAAATTAAACTTCATCTGTTACACATGTTGTGCACCTCAAATATTTGCACAACACATATATGCGGTTGTAAGAACAATCATCTGAATGCCTACACATTTTCCAAACCACTGTGTAAATTCCAAAATGCTGTATAAACACACTGCTGACAGTGCTTGTGGGTGAAAGTGAGGTCCTCCTCAGGACAAGGAGCCTATTATTTCCTGAGGAACAAATGTCTGCCAGAGGGTAGTAGCTAAAAAGAGATGTTAGAAAAACCTAAATACAAAGCTAAGGGAAAGACATCAAGGATAAACACAAGAGGCCCAGTGAACAACTTCATCGACTCCACTGACAGGAATGTTGTTGTGGCAGAAGTGAAATTTAAGCCAACAGGAACACATATATTCAGCATTTAGTTATCATGGGAATTTATTCGTTGGCTGCAGAGCAGGTCTGTGAACAGCTAGTCGTGGCTGTATGTTTCTATAAGCAGGGCTCTCCCCAGCTTTGCCCCTGCTCCCACACATCCAAACGAACACTTGCTGTGAGCTGTAGGATCACAGAAAGCCCCTGATTGGTGCTGAATTTAGTGCAAGGGCTCCACAAACACCAGTGCTGAAGGGGTTGCAACTTCAACAAGCTACTCAACCAGTGCCGTTCTTACTTTTCTGAAGCAGAAGGGCTTGCCATGATTTTTATAATGGTTTCAATAGGACTACTGGAACAATTTTTCCTATACAATTCCCTTACAATTAAAACTTACAAAAACAATCTAAAATCTTTCTGCTTTTTCTGCCTTTAAACAACATTGTTTTCAGGTCCCTTAAATAAAAATTTCCTTTTTTTTTTTTTTTTTTTCAAAAATAGATGAGTTTTCTATTTCTATTATATTTCTTAGTTCTGTAAGTATATACACCTGCTGTGCTTTATTACCAAAGCAGTCCCATAAAAGCCCACACATTGTTCATGATCACAAGCAAGTTCACAGATCTTCTGGGAGGGTTCATAAGCGAGTGGATTGCAGCCAATCTAACACCACATTGTCCCTCTAGACACATAGGTGTGATTTGTTTCCAAATCTGTCATAACTGTCCAATGAACAACAATAACTCCTGTGTCAAAAATGCTCCAAAATGAATAAAAGAATTGAAAAATATACATATACTTGTTTCTTTTTCTCAGTCAGCAAAACAGAGCATACACCAAAACTTTGCTTTCGTGGTGCTTTGTATAAACATGGGTTAAGCACATACTTTCCTGGAACTTCATGTTCTGCACTGTTCGGTTTTCCTTTTTGTAGTTACTCACTGTGTTATTTGTGCACTCATGGAAAAAATGTGAGTCCAAAGGTGAGCAAAATCACAGCACTAAGTTTCCAGGGATTCTATGAAAACTCTTCTGGCTGTGTTCTGTTTCAAAGGCCTTCATAAAGCAGTGTTTGTGTTTGGTCTTCTTGTTTTCACCTCACTTGCTGCCCCTGGGCCAGGGTGACTCAGATGTGATCAGGAAGCAGAAAGGAACCCTTCACCTAAAGAAAAGCCAATGCAGATGTAATCACTGGAAGCTTTTTGGCCTTTGGGCTCAGCCCTTCTTCTTTGGCAGTGTCCAATTCCATGGACATTGTCCTGGAGATGCTACAGGGCTGTGGCAGTTCTGCTCCCAACAAAGAACAGGATGAGGCTACAGCATCCCTTGGCCATGGGCTGAAGATCTGCAAGAGCAGCTCCAGCAGCCCAGGTCACTTGCAAGAGCTTATGGAATGGGAACATATCGCTGTGCATTACCAGTGTATCATGGTGTGCTTTTCTGTTCTGAGATTTACAAAACCAGCGGAGCAGGGGAACATGTAGGCTTCGAAACACACACAACTAAGAGGCTAAACACTTTTCAACTGACATTGTTAAGCTCTCTCTTCCTCCAAGTTACAGGTACACAACTTCTAGACTTGGATCACTACGAAGGTGAAAGCTTTGCAGACTGTTGACAAAACAACCAACACAACAAAGTGGAAATGACAGGTACTTCATGATTTAGTACAATTAAGTCATAGTCCTGGCTTATTTTTCAGCCTGATGCACATACTGAGTGTATTTACCAGTGGTACGAAAAATAAGAAGCAATTTATTACAGAGGTCAGCTTTGGAATGTGTACTTATTTTTCATAGCAACACTGGTGTCAAGCTCCAGATGGTTACTCAAGAGGTAACTCCCATTCCCACAATGGATAAGGATAACATGTAGAAGTTCTGGCACGAATTTGTAAAATTTATGCAGATGTACAGCCTCCAGCTGCATCACTTCCACCCTAGGGAGTCCCTGATGACCACCAGGTGAGCAATCAATTGCTCCAGCCCATTCCAGAAGACTGGGCATGCCAGAGACACTGTCTCTTCCATTTGCTTATTTACTTCTCCACAGTCATCCCACCAGACCTGGCAATACAAGCTGGGGTTCCTGACAAAATGCCACTCCAGCAACCACAGTCTCCCTTACTTTTGGAGCCCTCTTCTCAGCAATGGTGAAGATGTTTTTGCATCACTGTATGGTAACTGTTGAGTCATGGCCTGAACCACTGATTGAGCACCTGGGGAAAGGTCAGCCCTAGGAGCACAGGTGAAGGCAATTGAGCTGTGTAACTGGAAGGGGTGGAGCCTGGCTGCACCTCTCTTAGACCTCATTTAAGGGCTGACTGCCACTCTAGAAGGATCTTTGGTTGGACATCTTTCCCTTGTGGACTCTTTCTTGCAAGCCTGGATCTTTGGAGATGGGTGAGTACTTTTCTTTTGTACCACCATTCTATCCATGCTAGTCCCTCTGTTGATACATTCCTCTATTGCCTTTCTACTGCACTGACTTCTTTGATTGTAACAATCATCCTTAAGGCTGAGCTGCACCACTCCTATAGCCTCACCAAATGGATGGAGATTCCCCTGGGGGAGGCGTTAATGGTCCACACCACACAAAAGTACTGGTAAATATCCACAAAAATGATAGCATCCCATGAGCTTCCCTGTTATGCTGGGTGTCTGAGAACCCTTCCCACAGGAAGAACTGGGAAGCAGGCAGGCCCTGTCTGGACAGGAGGAAAAGAGGTGAAAGCGAAGGACTGAGAGAGGAAAAGGGAAGTAGCAGAATAAGGCTGAGCTGTACCTGGCTGGAAAGTGCCTCTTATGTGCATGCATGAGCAGCATAAATGTGAGCTCGTCCCAACAACCCTCTCTCTCTCTCTCTCTCTCTCTCTCTCTCCAGTGCAAGGGGACAGTGATGGGGTTGGGAGCCTGCTCTCAGTGAGCATGTAAATGACTCAGCTTGTTTATTCATGCTGGATCCTCCCAGTTTCTCTGGGAGAAGCTAGGTGTCCTAACAGTTAGCTCGAACAAATGGGCTTGCTCAGGGTCATTGTTCATTTCCAGGTCAGATACAGACAGTCCAGAGGCTTGGAAAGATGCGGGAAAGCCAGGCTGCTTTCCAGTCTGAGTCTGAAAACAAAAGTGGTCAGGAAAAAAATGAATGCCCATTACTTTCAAACAGTTCAGATTATCAGCAAAGGAAAGTTGCTCTTCAGTTTTCTGCTGCAGCTTGAAGGACTCAAAGAGGCACTCCCGGTGACCCAGTCTATAGTCTGTAGGAGTAGTGATGATCTCTAGATAGGGTGCAGCTTCATAAGATTAACCCTACCCCCCTCCCTCCCAACATTAAACTTCAACTGTAAGGACTTGGCTTCATCACCAGGGTTTGGGAGTCCTGTAGGAGTCCTATAACAGTGTCAAAAAGGACTCCAACAGTCAGTAGAGGAAAGGTTAGTGGGTTTTCCCCTTTATCATCTTGTTCCAGTCAGTCTCATGTAACTGTGAGACAGTAAGTACCTCCAGCTGCCATTCAAGCATATATGTACATCAGGGCTGCAGTGTCCTTTTCTAAGTGGTTATTTGACCAGAAATCGATATTAGAGCACATAAGGAGATAGGGAAAGCAAATGATGCCAGCCAAATGAAACACTAAGACAGCACCATTTCTCAGAGCTCAGTACTTCACTATGCATCCAGGTTTTAAAAAGGTACCAAATACTACCCTATCAGGACAGCATGATTTCATATCTTTTGAGTATTACAGAGAATGATGAAACAGAAACACAGCTGTGTGGAGGGGTGGATTGCAGAAAATAACTGTTCTTTTTTTTTTCTCCTTTTTGTCTCTCCCCCCCTCCCCCACCCCCCATGTTTCTGTGGGTAGGAGTGAGAACTTGAAGGTCTCTGCTCTTATCCGTGTGCTATAGATCCTCCTATGTAGCATCTCTCCCAGAACAAAGGTCATCCCCAAGGATAAGGGGAACAGCCACAGACAGACAACACCTCTGATCTCCAGCCTTGTGCTGAGAAGATGAATTACCTACCTCTAAGCATGATTTCTGTTTCACACTGCAGGCATGCTTTAGGTGAAAACAGTAGCAGTGAGTTATCCCATTTGGGAAAAGGAAGAACAGAGAAAATGCCACACACAGTAAGTTTTGGCACGTGACCCATAGCAGCAAGCATCTGGAACATTTGTTACTCTGTTCTCATTCCTTATGAAGCCCATAGTTCACAACTAAATCAGTAACAGCGTGTACCAATTTTATCTTGTGCCTTGTGTGAATAATAATAAAAATCCTAGTATCTTTTCTTTCTGCTACTTATCAGCTCCACTGAGGCCATTTTACATCCAGGTTCTCTTTGCAGCATCATTTTAACAGTTGTAAGGAGAACATAAAACTGACATCCAAACCATCTGCTCATCAGTGTTTTCCCTTCTTTACACTTTTTGCATAGGAAAATTATCCAGCTGTCTGTCTGTATGCATGGCTGTGTGTGATCTCAAATATTTAAGGATTCATGATATTCCTTCTGCTGCCAAAAAGTTCCCATGCTCATCACCCAGCTACACATTATCCTTCTCTGCAACAGAAAAACTGTGCATCCTGGGAGAGTTAGATCATGGGATTTAAACTAATAAATGCTGATGCAAGTTATGTAAAACATTTATCTTCTTCTGATTAAATGTTTTTGGATTTCAATACAGAAATCTGCAGTAAAGCATTTTTAGATGGCACTTGGTCCTTCAGCCAAAGCTAGCATAAACAAAGATTACAGAAGGGAAAAAGTTCCTTTACTAAGATAATATATGAAAAATATAATACCAAATGCTAATAACTAGTAAGTTAACAGCCAAGTCTGTCAATGCTTTGTCCAGAGTTCTCCCCTGCCTACTTAAAAGCAGCAGAACCCTTAACGTTGAAGTGAATTGTTGAGTCCTGACGTTCATTATAGTGAGAGCTTTTCCAACAGTAACAAGTAAGTTACTCACTCCTGCATGTCCCAGATCATTATCTGTGCAGTGGCTGCTTGAGCAGTGGGGCAGCCATTTCATGTGCAGCATCCTGTGCTGTATGAACATGGAGAGGCAGCAAAGAGTTAAAAACCAGAATCTCACTCCTTACATTTAGAAGCCAAAAATTACTTCACATTCTTGGGAGTAAACTAATTTCCAGATGCACATCAGAGTAGATCCATATGTAAAAACATTGTACAGAAACATTCTTAATTAATGAAGGGTTGTAGAGTTGATACACCCACACTACCCAAGGTTCCTGCAGGACCTACCAAAGCATTCAGTTCATTCAGCCCAGTCAGTGGGTTAGCTATTGGCACTCACCTCCTTGTGTTGGCCATCCCAGTGGGTGTTTGCTAAGACTGTGTGCTCTCAGTAGTGATATCAATTGAAAGGGCAGGTTGGTCTCTGTGGGGAGAGGCAGGGAGGGGAGAATGCCATGGGTGAGGGACACCTGCCTGAGGCATGTCTCATCCCAACACTTTGTTGGGGCCAGGTACTCTTCCCTCCATCTGTGCTGGCCTCAGTTGCATAGAGGGAGATATGGCTTCAAGGAGGAAGAAGGGAGAACCTGTTGTGCAGCTGCCTTTCCCTTTGGGCCTCATGTTCTGTTTGAATTCTTCTGCTTACAGTCTCTAGAACTTGGTTCTTGTTATTTCAACAAGATTAAATCACTCTTCAGTGCCCTGGGTTTTCTTCTCAAGCAGGCATTCACAGACGAGCTCCTGTCAGGTTGTTTTTCTTGTTGTTAGGTTGTGATAAATTCACAAAGCTCTTAAGACTCTTACAATAAGGGATTTGCTCCTGTATTTGGCTTCTCTGTGTGTGACTGTGTGTCTCTGTCCTCCAGGTATCTGTTTTCTCATAGTCTTTAAAAAATTTGGAAGCCATCTTCCAAGATGAGTCGGGTTCTGCCACGTCTTGAGACAACATTGCCTTCTCTTCCTTTGTTGTCCAAATGGGTTTGAGAAAGAAAGGAAACATCTGATTTGTCATCACTTAGAAGTTCAATTTCCAGGCCACCATTCTACCTCTAAGTCAAGGTTACTTGTCCTACAGAGTTTAACTATTTTATGATGGTGATGGGTTGATGGTTGAACTAGATTATCTTGGTGATCTGTACCAACCTCAATGATTCTACAAGTGCCATAAAAAATGTGATGATTTTCCCTCAGCAATGAGTTTCATCTTAAATGATCAGGAAGAAATCCATCCCAGGCATGGGAATTTGCAACAGCAATACCCTTTTTATTGTGACTTTTGTCCTGTGCTGTTGCTTCCAGTAAACTCCAAAACCAAATCCCCAGATGACATGCAAGCCTATTTTTTCCCATGCTGTTCGTTTTATGAATGTCATCTCCAACTCACCTGTGGCGGCTCTCATGTAGCTGCAGTGACAGCATTGATAGAAGCCCCTGAGCCTTCTCTTGTGTGTGCTGAACACTCCCAGCTTTCCCAGCCTCACTCATCTCTGTACCGAGCACTGCAGAAGTCTCACCAGTCTGAGCAGAGGGCAGGGATCATCTCCCTTGATCTGCTGGTGATGCTCCTCCTAAAGTATTGCATTTATCTTTGTTGAACTTGGTGAGGGATCTCCTAGCCTTCTGGTACCAACAGCACAGCCCTCTGGTACCAACAACGGGCACTAAAATGCCAGCATTGACATAACTTACCCTACTGTTCCCCATCAAATTAACTAATGCTACCATGGGGCAAAAACAAACACCATCATGAAAACACACACAGCATCTATTCTCCACATCTGTTAAGTTTGAACTTCTTCCCATTTAGCCCATGGAATACATAATATGCACATTTGCTTGCATTATTTCCATTTGTGTGTCTTGTCAACAGTCTCAGTTGGGTATAGGAACGATGGCAAATGTGGTACAACCCAAAACTCTGGAGCTCCTATTAAGTTTTAGGGAAGGGTTTGGGGATGGGCAGGAAAGGGACATTCTGAGGATGCTTGGTGTGACCCATTAAATGACAAGCAGTGGTAGAACACTGTGTGCTTAACTGTGTCCCCAGACTGCCTCTGAAACAATTAAAATGCCACAGCATTTGTGACAGAGGCTGATCCTGAAATACCAGCAAGTCTAACCCCAGCCCAGGCAAGCCTAAACATGACTTCTTGGATTCAGTGTCCAAAATCAACCTTCTGGGACAAGCTGGCTCCTCATACCTCTTCATGACTCTTGGAGTGCATTCCTTTCGCCTGTTTCTTTTAAAATAAAGCCAACTAGACAATTCCCAGAGGTGCAGAGGAGAAGTCAAAATGCTGAGCAAGTTCAAACACATGCCAAGGTCAGAGATGCTCTGGCAGGACCCTGGTCCGGGATTCCTGATTCTCTCCTTCCATTTCAGTCAAACTAATTTCAGCCTAGCAGTTAGGATTTCT